AGGGAGGAAGGACCTGTACGTGGTGGGGAGAATGGCGAGGCAGAGTTGGAGGATTTGGGTGAGGAGGAAGCGTCTCAGATGGGTCGGGGATTTGGGGGAGGAGGAGGGGTCGATTTTCAAAATCGACCCTTTTCTGCACGGGACTACTAGTCCCGTGCAGAAAAGGGTCGATTTTGCTAAAATTTTTGTCAACGGTCGATTTTGCCAATTAAATTTGGAAAACGGTCGTTTTTGAAAATTTGTCCTTTAGAATTCCCTGTATATTGTTTAGTGGACTTATTTTACGGATTGGTAACCACAACTGGGCTTAGTGGTGATGGCTGGTTCATTTAGTTTTAAAGCTATTGGGCCTTACTTTCGGGCTGCTACAGCTTCTTCTAAATTCCAGAAATGGCCGAAAGCTCCTTCGTCTCATTTCGAAAAATCACTTTTTTGACCCCTCTCTCTCTCTCTCTCTCTCTCTCTCATCAGTGAAGAGAAACAATGGAAGATCTAAAGGCTGCACTCAACGAGCACGTGGATCTCGTCTCCGAGCTATTCGAGAAATTCTCCGGCGAACTCCGCCGCGGGTTCCGCCCCGCCGTAAAACCCTAATACTTTTTTTTTCTAGCTTCATTACTCGAATTTAGTTCAGCCGGCGTTCGAGATCTGAGTAAGTTCTGTCGAGATTTGAATTTGAGTGAAGTTCTTGATTAGTCGGCGGCATTTGATCTCGAATTTTGAGTGTTTCTCTCTTCATCGAACGGGGTTCTCGTATTGTGAATGATGAGATGGAGTTTGTGTGTGTGTGTGTGTGTTTTTTTTGAGATGATGGTGATGTGAGTTTCTTACAAATGCTCAGCCCTTACAACAACTTGGTTGTTAGATCACGGGGACTCAATTGTAATTTGTGTGTTTGTGGGAGATTTGGGCTTCCTTGCTCTAATAACTAGCTTCTAGAGGTCGGTTTATCGTGTTCTCTTGGAAAATCATCATGCAAGTAGAAACCCTCAGGTTGTCAAGTTAATAATAATAAATAGCATAAATCCTTGTTTTTATTTAATTGTTGGTAGTTTTTAAGTGTTATTGGAGAATTTCTTGGTGGTTTATAAAACTGTTGACTATCCGTTCTCAAAAGATAGTAGGGAGCAAATCTCATCCGTAGATAAGAACGATGGTCGGTTCAATTAGAAGATTCAATCGGATTAGAGCAGGGATGCACCCCAGTCTGAATATTGATTGGACGGGGATTGGGGAATAGGCGTAGGCGTCCCACTTTAAATCTATTTATATTGGATTTTATGTTTATTTGTTCTCATAACCTGTGTGGAAGCAAGTCGATGCCTAACATACTCCCACTTGCTTGAAGTGGGATGTGACGTTCAACATTGTGTATCATCTAATGCTGAAAATATCAATCATAAAGATCATGCATAGTACTTCATCATCAAACTAATCCAATATACTTAATCGCGTATACAAACGTATTAGTCCTGCTATGTACACTAAAAGGAAAAACAATAGTGGACGTCATCAGCGGAGCAAAACCATATATGGATTGCCAGAGCACCTTATTTGATCGACTCAGGATGAAACCATTTGCTCTGTGTTTCATTCTTGTATAATACATAAAATTCTTGACGTGATCTGTAGTCATGTACCATTAGAATAAACTAAAGTAGGATATGAAGCATGTCATACAATTGAAAGATCGCAGAAGAATGTCCATAAGCATATTGCTTTGTGTGTTGCAGCTTAGCTATCTATGTACTCAATCTTCACCATAAATGATATGATAATCAACTCCCTTTTGCTACACAAGGAGGTATCATCTCTAAGTAAGAAGATATATGCAGCCATCCATTAACAGTCATGACTAATCATGGTCATTGCTAACATCAGTATATTCGTGAAGCTACGATGAATGTAGTTTGTTATTACTTTAAAGTATCTCATGACCTTCTTGACCACGATCCAATAAGTTATTCAGGTATTAGAGTGATATCAATTGAGAAAACCTGGTGCATATGAGATGTCACAACAAGTACATACCATTTCATATTTAAAAAATTCCTATGATAATCAAATACTTGACATGCATCATGTCATTTGTTGTTTTGTTTTTTGTTGACAGCATTCTAGGTTAAGGAGATAGGTCTTTTCAACTGAAGTATTAATGATCAACTATTCATGCACTCTATAATTGTAGTAGTTTCCTTGTATACATCTTTTGAGTTTAAAGATCCTCCTATATCTGCCCGTTGGTTTAATTCCAAGAATTGAGCTCTCATCACCCATATTCTGATGTTGAAGTAAGAAAACCATATGTATGCCATTGACATGCTAGGGATATGATAGAGTTGCTACTGAGACACTTTAAGACACATAATGTTGTGCTGGTAGTAAGGCCGAACTGAATTTGTCTCCATGAAATCTGAGATAACATTGCTTAGATGATTCGTTAAATCTACAAGTGGACCATCAAAGCATGCATACTTTGTGCTCAGAATTCTTGGATGCTATATGTAGCTCTCGGTTGCCTTGTGTAGGCTCTAAAAATGCTAAGAAACAAGGGAGGGTCGAACCTCACTACAAAAGCGACGAGGGTCGTCACAACGATGAACCTCGGCTCAATCAATGAAGTTTGTCTCAGCCAGATGAGACTCACAGTGCATCGTTCCTCAGAAGTCGAAGTTCGTCATTTGAGATGAAGTTCGCCCAGAAATGAAGTTCGTCATTGAAGACGAAGTTTGCTTAGAGACGAGGTTCTCAACGTCTTATCCTTCAGGAGACAAAACTCCTTCAGGAAACGAAGCTCGTCAGTGAAGACAACTTTTGTAGAAGACGAAGTTCGTCAGAAGAAGTCCACGAGACCTACTACACAGCTGGACTCGACCATAAAAGACGAAGCATACCATATAGCGAAGCTCGCTTTGTCAGACAAATCTCGCTGCGCATTGAGGCTCATCTCATCTAACGAACCTCGTCACGCTGTGAGGCTCGACTCTAACGACCTTGAAGACCCAGTCAGCCCACGTGGGCTAAATTCAAGGAGTTAGTTACACTCCTCAACCACACGATCAGCGCGTAAAGCGTCAGACTTCAGTTACGCGCTAGAGGCTTATAAATAGCCGCAAGCAGCTATGAAGAAGCCAACGGAGTTAGCTCAATCAGAAATCAAATTTTTGGCAGAGTTTGTACTCAAGCTTGGAGAAGCTCTTTTGGAGATCCGAACCTCGGTTCTTGTGATCTAAAGTTAGACGCGCGGCAGCTCAAGCACTCAACAGAGGCTAACTTTCTCCTCGAATTGAAGCGATCTTGCTCCGATCGTCAACGAGAAGCATGCTCAATGCGAGCATCGAGCGAGACATCTCATCGCCACAGAACCCACGTTAAACAAAGGAGAAGTCAAATCAACCTTCTCATCTTCTGTACTTGAGAAAGAGCGATTGTAAAGAGATTTTTACCGGGCGATAGAATCTCGTCTCATAACTAAAGCAGTTAAGAGGATCAATCGTTTCGTCTTATTCGAGACCCTATAGAAGATGGCGACCATAGTGGGATGACACAAAAATTTCAATCGTTATTGTCTGGACGATTTTTAGAAGCAACTTGATGCTTTGAAGCTTCAAAGAAATTTCAAAGAATTTGGGGTGACTAGACCGTACCTTGCCGAATGAGATGCCTTTCCTTATCTGTCAAAGTTCAAGCCACTCAACCTCCTGCAGTTCGATGACAATGGCTCTTCTACCCAGCATATCTACTACTTCCAGACGCAAACTGGGCACATAGTGAAAAATAATCTTATTATGACTCGACTGTTCATTAGTACCCTCAAAGGGGTCGCTTTTGAATGGTTTCGCAGATTGGAGCCTAGGTCCATTAATTGTTGGAAAGACATGAAAAAGCTCTTCATGATCAGATTCTTCGACGATGACACAGAAGTATCTATGACTATCTTGCTAGCTGAAAAGCAGAAGAAGATAGAGTATGTCAGTGACTTTATCAAAAGATTTAGGAACCGATCACTGCATTCTCGTGATCAAGTCTTGGAAGCCACCCTCATCGAGATGTGCCGGAACAATCTTTCATCAACATACTGTTGAAGTTCGCACATGGAAAGACTTGGTCTGACAAGGAGAACAAGTTGAAAACATGCTCAAAAGGCTAGATGCTGAAGAGCCGCGCGAGTTTCGTCCTAGAAGAAGGGGTAACCAAGGCAACTTCAATCCTCAGAACCATTCAAAGGGGAAGGATACTCTGGCAGTGGAAACCACTTCCTCTCCTGAACCCACATTAAACAAATGAGAAGTCAAATAAACCTTCTCCTCTTCTGTACTTGAGAAAGAGCGATTGTAAAGAGATTTTTACCAGGCGAAGCAGTTAAGGGAATCAATCGTTTCGTCTTTTTCGGGACCCTACACCCTGTTATGTCTACTTGTAGTAGTTTGTCACCGCTGAAGATGCAGAAGTTAT